CCAAAGAAATAAAATGACTAATGGAGAAACATAAGTATCAACTGAAACAAATGATTAAAACAGAAACACCGGTATTCATAGAAATAAAATGACAAATGGAGAAACACAAGTATCAAATGAAACAAATGATTAAAACAGAAATATAGGTATCCATATAAATAAAATGACTAATGGAAAAACATAAGTATCAAATAAGACAAATGATTAAAACAGAAACACAGGCATCAATATAAATAAAATGACTAATGGAGAAACATAAGTATCAAATGAATCAAATGATTAAAACAGAAACATAGGTACCAAAGAAATAAAATGACTAATGGAGAAACATAAGTATCAAATGAAACAAATGATTAAAACAGAAACATAGGTATTCAAAGCAATAAAATGAATAATGAAGAAACATAAGTATCAAATGAAACAAATGATTAAAACAGAAAAATAGGTATCCAAAGCAATAAAATGACTAATGGAGAAACATAAGTATCAAATGAAACAAATGATTAAAACAGAAACACTGGTATCCATAGAAATATAATGACTAATGGAAAAACATAAGTATCAAATGAAACAAATGATTAAAACAGAAACATAGGTATCCATAGAAATATAATGACTAATGGAGAAACATAAGTATCAAATAAGACAAATGATTAACACAGAAACATAGATGTCCATAGAAATTAATTGATTAAAACAGAAATATAAATATCCACAGAAATAAAATGCCAAAAACAGACAAAAAGGTATCCAAGGAAATATAACGACTAATAGAGAAACATAGGTATCCAAGAAAACAATTGAGTAACGAGAAATAATAAATAATTAAAGAAAGAATTGACTAATGCGGACACATAGGTACCAGGAAAATGAATGACTGATGTATAAAAGAAACACAACACTTAATTAATGATCAATGGATACATAACAGTACACAAGGAAACAACTGTTTAAGGAAGAGACCCATGTCAATTAACAATAATGTTAAAACCTATGTATTTCATTGAAGATTACATTTATCACATACCTAGGTTTCTAAAAATAATATTTAATTTCGAATAAAAATATGTTTTTGTTTTGTTTGTCCCAAAAGTGTGCATTTTGTGTTTTCAACGCTTATTACTTACTTATATATTAATTTGAATGTTTTTAATTAGTGGAGTTGAATGACAAACAGTATGCAAATACATAAATCGAAACATTGGACCATTTTTACATTTTTACTTTATCAAACTTGTTTTTTGAGTTGCAAAGTACAAAAAGTTTGTTTTGATAAAAATGTACGAAAATGATTCGCATCCCAAATGAAGAAACATATAGGTGTCCAAATAACAAAAGGACAAATTCAGACACATATATATACTCAAAGAAATAAATAACTAATGGAAAAAATAATAATAATATAATTATTATAATCAAAATCTTCATAATTAAAAGATTATTATTATCAAAATCATCATAGTCCCTGTGCTGACTTATAACAACTTTCTACACTGGCTAATGTCACATTTTGATCTTTCCATCAGGTGTTGTAGCAAGATGTCCCCAATCACAGCAATTATGGCAACTTTCCTATCCCTCTTCTTAACCACCTTATTAACCGAAGCCCAAGAACTCCCGAGGAGGAAAGATCACCACTTTCTCCTATCTCATGCAGAAATTGTCCACGACACGGGTACAGTGCCTGACGGAGTTGAAGTCAGAACATATATATTTAAAGACACCACTAAAAGGTAAAAAATAAATATAACTATTCAAGATATTTGTTATTATTTAAGTTGCTCGATTAAAAGCGTCACAATCACCGCCTAGTGCGGGTTAGAAAGCCGCGTGACTAAACGTTGTGTTATACACGTTGCGTACGACCCATGTCCAACGCGACGCGTTGTGACGACTGTGGCGCTTTGATTTTTCCCGGATGCTGGAACAAATAATCTAATCTAAAGACATTTAAATAAAAACGGTATATTTTGGGTGGAAATTATTAGAATGTGCTGAGTAACACAAACTATGTACAGAGCGTTGTGTAAGTAGCAGACAAATCGTCTACGCACATTTTCAATTGTATCGCCCCGGGTGGAAAATAACTGCGATTATACGAGTTTAATCTTGGTTTCACGTATCACAGCGCTCACATTGCGGTCGAAACCGCAAAACCTAATGATCGCTGTATGTGTTGCATACCCATTAAGATTATTCCACTGGGAGCGTCACGTGCCCGTCGTATTACTGACCCAAGTTAACAATAATGCAACAACACTTATTATATCGGTTGATTCGAACTTTTGTTGTGAGACCTTTATGAGGATAATTGAAAAGTCAAGCAATCAAGTAAACTAACAACTCAATTAATAGTATTTTTCCTGCTAATAATTATGTTAGAATATGTGATATGCTCGTAGAATGCTCGTAGGTTATCGCACGCCTATCTCAAAATGGTTGATTAAGAAGTTCGAACAACGTTCTCGTCAATTTTTTTCCAGGTATTTTTTTTCAGTTGATGAAGATAACACACCGGTATCCATTACAGTCACGCCATGTGCGGCATTATTAGAATGGCAATTGTCGCTGTTGCCACACGAGGAAAGCGAAGAACCCTCAGGTAATTTATTTTAATTTCTTGAAGTAAATTGCCATGCCGAATTATGGATTCAAAATGGCGGTGGATGACTCATCGACTGGTTTTAATGTCTGGCGTTTTTAGGTCAAGCGGCCACATGCAATTCGACCTTACTTTATAAAGCGTAGTATTTGCACGTGGACATTATACATATACATGGACTTAACACAATTAAATACGAAGAACCCGGATGATCCAATTAGGGTAATTAATTGCATCATTACATTTCGACCAACATGATAATTGTTATATCAAAATAATTTAAAATAAACGAAAAAAAAAATAAATAAATAAAAAAACATATACACGAATCGGGTAACATTTTGTCTACACCGAAACGTTGGATGATAAAGTTGAAAAAAAGGTACACTCGAAATAAAGAGGTCACACAAGTTCAATGTTTCTGTCGATGTCACGAACCGTTCATCCATCCATAAAAGGCTACACGTGGGTGTGCATTTTCTTATCTACCTAAATAGTCCTTCACATTCACGGTTTCCACTGACCCATAATAAAAAAGAAAATAAATCCGATTACCACAGGTATCACATTTTTGGTAAAAAATGATATTTTCGACCGATTGCTTTGCTATTTTACATGAGTTGTTAAATTCATTCATTTCGTGACCAAATCATTAATTCCATATTTTTAGCAAATATTTTTGTAAAGAATTATATTTCCGACTGCTTTTTGAAAATATGATTTTGGTATTCGATAGGTACCTTAGGTCATGTCTGTCATGGTTTTTTCATTTTGTGATGATGTCATTAATTTTCTAGCTTTAGCGAATCTTTTTGTTATTTGTGGAACAAAATTATACTTTCAACAATTCCTTAAAAGCTTGTTGGCTGATCGCTTAATTGTGTGGAATATGCATTGACCACCATTAGATTAGTTTAGTGTGTGACAATGTCTTAAATCGTTTGAGTATGAATCAGATTGCGTTTAGAATTAAAATCACATAGAGAGGAGCTACTGCGAAAGGTCAAAGTAACGAGTTAAGGGACCTGTTTTGACATCTGTACATTTCATGTATACTTGAACAATAGTAACTAGTTAAGGGACCATTTGTGACATCTGTTCAGAAAGATTCTGGAATTGCATGTATGTTTTCGCAATATTAACAAGTTAACGGACATTTGCGTTTCAAGGTGTTGCCAATCAACTCACAAAACGATATCCAACAGTCATGAAACTACATGCAAACCAAACCGGTCACTGGTAGCATATTGGTTGTCGCATCAGACTCATGATCGGTAAACCCAAGTTCAAATCCTACCTCATCAAAGGGTCACCCTGGGTGAGTGTGCCACAGATCTAATGGGAAGGCCAATTCCACTGGCTCAGATTCATTCACTAACGAATGCGACTTTGGGGGAACCTTGGTTGAGGTCCACAGGTGCTTGTGTTTGACCGAGCCTGGTTGACTTCAGTATAGCGCATTAACAAAAATGCCATTTGACAGAGAGATGGCCACACAGCCTTGTCATGTAGTCCCAAACATGAATATGACTTTTGTGGCAAAATGAACTATGTGTCAGCACTAGCACTTGCAATTTGCACTTACAAAAAAAGTTAGGAAAGACAACAGTGACACTCAATGTCCAAAACTGTCGCCTGGCACAAAAAATTTAAAAAAAAAACAAACAAAAAAACAACCTTCAAATAGTTAGTTACATATGGGTTCGTTTTATGCAAATTACACGATTTGATTAGCCTCGTCCGTGGACATTTTCTAGAACAGTGTAAACTTGACACAACTTCCAGATCGATTTGCGCACTTACGTTGCTGTCCGCAAAGCATGAGTCATGTATGTAAGCTCGTAGTGAGGTTAATCGATTAATGTTGACGGGTCCCCAGTGACACTCGATAAATCGCAGCAGATGATAAACTCGCTGAACGCTATAGCAAGAATCGTCAGAAGACACGTGTAGCGAAAAGAAAATACTAGTACATTATGCCTAATTACTGGTTCTAGTTACATCACGTTGTGTCGCCGCAACGTATAATGACTATGTGTTATAGTTTAATTTGTGTAACTAATAAGCTGGTAAAACAAATATACACAGCCATTTTATTTTATTGCATTGATCATTTTATGCCGGTTACACTTTGTATTCGAGTATCCACAGAACACAAATTCGTTTCACATTCAAATCTTCGTGTGCAATGAAGCCGTTACACCGTGAAATTTGAGTCCGCGTGTTTTGTAAAAATCTGTTAGACCGATCCCCCTTGAGGATATGCATTCGATTGATGTCCAAAATCTAGTAATCTCTTTGGAAACGTTTTTTTTTTGCTTTTGCAAAAATGAAATGTCAAGCAAAAACTTGCGTGGGTGGTAACTTCGTCACAGTCTACCGAGCGCCTCTATATGCGTGAACTTATTTGGATTTTATTCGATATAACAGCATAAATATTATTCAAACATATTTCCGGTAATTTGTCATATGACTGTTGTCTACTCAGTTAATGAGATCACATCGCGTGAACAATTTACTTCGCTGTGTTTTTGTTGTGATCAATTCTCGCTCATATCTCCATTAAACGAGCACAGTTGACGCAGAATTGATTACTGTCAACCAATTGTATACGTTGTGTTTTTGTAATTTTCTCCGATGACTCATCACTTGCAAAGTTTTGGATTTTACTTACTCGGGTCGTTAAACATTCAATATTTATCAACTGCAAAACATTCTGTGTAAAATGTTATCGTTTTTGCAATAAAATGAAATATCATAAAATACCACAAAGTACAATACGATATGATACGATGCGAATCAATGCGAATAGAATAGAATAGAATAGAATAGAATAGAATAGAATAGAATAGAATAGAATAGAATAGAATAGAATAGAATAGAATAAAATAGAATAGAATAGAATAGAATAGAATAGAATAGAATAGAATAGAATAGAATAGAAACATTAATCCATGAAAACCAAGTCAAGGTTGAGTAAACATATTTTTTAACCTGAAAAGTGACTCACATTACGCCATCGTGGGACGCATTGTCATTAGGGACGATACGACCATTCTGAGGCATTGATTTTCGATACAAACATCCTATTAACTCTGGGATGAAGAATGAGTCATACTCTGATTAGTTAAATGTAAACAACAGTCGCTTGGCCGAGTCTGGCCAGGCACCATTTATTCGCTTATTATACACGTACTGAGGCCTAGTTAAAAGTTTCGCAAGACAATTTCACCAGCATAACGATCACAGATAATTTCTTATTGGTCATTAGCGGCATGAAACAAAGGACATGAGACTTTACGCTCCCGAGTATGTGCTTAACTCCCCGTGTAGCCTGAAACGAGAACTGGACAGCGGCTGACTATTTTGTATTTAATGAAATTACGCCATATATATATATATATATATATATATATATATATATATATATATATATATATATATATATATATGTATATGTTAATTTGTCTAACGATCCGCGAAGTAGAATAATGCCTGTAAATTACATCTGTATGCATGTTTGAAAACTGCTTTAGTGCGTATCGCACCGTCACAATCATATTGCCAAGGTTTACCTGATTTTAGCCATGCACCGAGTATGCACGGACTTATTCTTTAAGGTTATCTTGGGCTACAAACTATCATATTTATTTTACATACGGCCCTGAAATCCCAGAACAAAGACATATTGCTGTGACCAGCCAACTGATTGATGGGAAATGTCTGAGGCGATTATCAAAATCAAAGCAATTCCGCTGACATACAGAATATTGAGTGGATATGTACATGTAATATTTATCTTTCGTACGAACGTTGGAAGGTGTCAACGTCTTAATTACGGTTGCTCGAGGAGCGGGTGTCTAGTCTTAATATTGAGATGACATATCATCCATAATCGATCAGCGCAACCATGCGTCTCCTTCAGACCCATAGTCGCCACCTCAAACCGGGAAAGCGACTAAATCTTCATCTAAACTGTGTTTTTTTCTTGAAATACCCATTATCATTTGTAATAACTTCTAATTGGAAGAACCCATGAATGGAATATAATTTAAAAAAAAACTACAAGGCTTCTTATCTTGTGTAATTCTTCACAGTGTCGCATTTCATCTAGAATATGTGTGATTAGACAACAGTTGCCGTGTTTACAGAAAGCTGTATTAACTCAACTTTTAAGTATCGAATGATACCGATTTGGTGACGTATCCAACCACCCCTCTTTCCACCCACTCGGTTGTATTTCGTCACTCGCTCCTCGCTCTGTGTGCCGCCATGCAAGATCGCACCACACAGATATGAAAAGATAGGAACAATAATATAGATGAGGGCGGGTGTGTGTGTGTGACGTGTAATGAGGGTGAATTTGGAGGGTATATATTTATTGTTAACTTTAGAAAAGCGATTGACGATGAGATGGGAGCACAAACGTAAAAGTGTGCAGGTGATTGGAAGAAAGGTGGAAAAAACGGACGCACTATGAAAACTGAAATAAAACTAAAAGGAAAAAGAGAAACTATATGATAATTCATTGTGGCCTAATTGGTATTCTCACTATGTTTTAATAGAATATCAAAAGCGTTGGTTTGTCATTCTGGGAGTGGCGTAGACTGTACTTCTCCCACACTGTTTGACGAGTGGCGACAGCAGCATTGACACTGTGAGCAGCTAACTCGTGGTTTCGTGCTCGAACCGCAGTTTTAATTGCCGCAACACGACTGTGTGAACGTACCGCATGTTTCAATTACCCGCTGATATATGTGTATCGCCGTTAACGCGGCGGCGGATCTTCGGGGCTGACAACTTAACCAGCGCGTTAGGTTTGCATCAGTCAGTCGGGGCTTTTGATATATATGATACGCATCGAGTTTGGCTGGATCTGAACACTGATATGTAAATCCTAATCATACAGTATATATACGAATTGTTTTATACCATTTAAACATGAATACATATTGCCAAACTAGTCCTAATTAAAATCGCTTATATAATAATGCCGCTTCATATTAATAATTTTTCCAGTCTCCACGGTGTTCGGTTTTCACCGAATTCGTAATCCGACGGTAATTGGGCTGGCCTAGTTACGGTATGACTCTGCATATCGGCTGGGAATATATACTACTCTGTTTGTACAGTCATTAAATCAATGCAATGGTTTGTCTGTTGGTGTGCTTATTTTACTAAAAACCGATCCCTTCAGAGTATAATCAAGCAATTCAATAGTTGACAACAGACACTCTGTAATTCCGATATTGCTACCTATCCGGTTAAGGTGGGTTGGGGGTTGGGCGTTGATGTGGGTGCCGAACTGAAATTGACCCCGATTATCACTGTTTGGCTTCGAACACATTTGGGGTCAAGAGATTATATTCGATTGGATTTTAGCCAATTTTAGTCACATTATGACCCATTTGTACGTTATCAATTCCACCATCTTTTTTATCTGGTTCGTAACTAATCGTGTTATTACATTCCTCCAATTACATATATCGGACACGTCTAATACTGTCCATGATATCAGAAACTCGTATATTGAGTTGCTCGCGACTAACTTGCATGTTAAGTAGCTGATTTGCATATATTGTCTTGGACAACCAATCAAATCAAACTTTATTTTTGAGTGATGACTATTCTAAAGTTATGGTTGGTCATATTAAATCGAGGAGGGATGCAAGGTGGCATATGGAGGTATATTTTGTGATTTTTTTGGTATTTGTTATATTCGAAAGTGCTTATCAACTTCACATCTATTGTGGGTAGATGTCGAATATGCAATATTCCCAGAATATACCTTCCCCTTGTTTGTAATAGTCTAACCCTTATTCATATTCGTTCACTCAAGGCACGTGACAGATCGATACCAATTAGAATGGGGTGTCTGATACTATAAGCACCGAGTGCACCGAGCCGAAAATGGAATGGTCTGAGCGTTATTTGAACAGTGACGCAATAAAGCTTCGTGCCGCTGTCTTTATAGAACATTTATTCTGGAAATCCCAGACGTCTGTTTGATTACATGGGTGTTTGTACGTGACGAGACTAAACAATAACAACCAAAATTGCCATAAATTATGTACATTATTGCGTATCGAATCGCTATCTTTGAAACCACTATGTAGAGGGAACCCAGCAGATGTTCTGAAAATATTTGTTTTTATATAATGATGATAACTTTCATATCAAGGTCACATTATTTTAAAAATTCATTGATATTATTTTTATTGCAGTCAAGGTCACATACGTAATACTACATACTTTGGTAGTATGGTTGTTTCGGCGATCGAGCTTGGGATATTTACGTTTTACATTTCGGGTATTTTTTGAAAAACAAAACAAAACAAAACAATTTTATAATTTTCCGAGATTGATGGCACATATTAGCTTATTGATATTTCACATATTGAGTTCTTGTGAGAGTATGATACTGTTTTTTTCGCTGATTTCCACGTTCTACGGTTGAGAATTTGTAACCCCATGTCGTTGATCGCGACAGCGAAACCAATCGAGCTACAGAACTGCAGCTATGATCGCGATAAACCTAATTGTACGCTCTAGGATATATTTCATGGACTCCGACTACGAATACCCAGGGGCATGTCACTGTTGCTTCTAAAACTATTGTCAGTAAGCATTACGAATATGATGCACTATGAGCAGTAAAAAAATATTGCAAAACATCACTGTCGAACCGACACGGCACATGCCCTGGCAAAATTGTATCAACACGACACAACCTGCAACGTAGATATCGTTACAATTTCCTCCCAGGCACTGCCAGATCAGACACTCGTTTGAGTCTACTGCCCTCATCTGTTGACTCCCAGAACGCCACACACAGAACAATGAAGGTTCACGTACAACATCAAACGCGGTGCTATTTATAGAAAACCAGTGAGGCTATCGACTGATGATATTCTGGCCGCCGACCAAGAAAAAAAGGGTCAATGTCTTCAGCAACGTAAAAAGGCGGATATTGACCTTCGAAAAATGACAGATAATTGATGCGTAGTCTTATCGCGGATTATTGAGTTATCTACCCAGAACATAAAAAAAATGTAATTTATCTCGGCTGTTTGGAATTCTGTTCACAACGCGCCGCTATGGTCAACTGAATATGAACTCTGTCACAATTTGCAGTGACGAGATCCACCGGGGAATAAGTTGACCTGCAGTATAATGTAATGTATTAGACAAGAAGCTTTAGATACTCACTTCGAAATCCAATGAGATGATGGACGCGTCAGTCACACATACTAAACCGTAGAATAAAACTTATTAGCAAAATACTAACGAACACACTTTGAAACACACTATTACAATTATTATTAATTATTATGTTGTAGATTAAACAATACTTAGCAATCTTAATCACCCCCTTTGCAATGTGACCGAATTAAATGCCGAACTAATTGCATTAGGCAGATTGCTAGCAAATAAAACAAATAATAAACGAAAACAAAAATGATTCACTCATACGAAAAAACAATAAATAAAAAACAAAAGCAAACAAACAAAAAACCAAAACAAAATGTATTCCACCTGTTTCGTAACTTGGATTATATACCCAACGAAAATTAACATGTAGGATGCATAAAGCAGACACAAGGTGGCGCTCTTTCATGTATTTTGCAAAACGTGGGAAGGATTATTACCGAGTTGTGGCGCTGTTCCCCAGATCATATTATCGGGTACATCGCATAATATCATAATTTTTAATTTATTTATTAATTGATTTTTATTTTTCTGTTTGTTTGTCAGGAGATGATATAGCTGAGGAGTTCGAAGAACAGATGCCCAATTTAAGGACAGATTCCCCAAATCTAATTTTAAAAAGTTATATTGGGTTCAAGCGAGAAACGTATCTTGTGCACGATTCTCCGGCTGGAGAATTTATGCTTCAAATTCGGTCACCAGAAACAGATACCAATGTGTATATATATGCCACGACATCACCTGATTCCGATCGACCCTACCCTGAACTTCCCACGGACCCCAGGTTGGACGTGGCATCGGTTAACCGAGATAGTGTAACGCTTGGATGGAAGGCTTCGCCGACGAACGCTTTGCATCAGGAACCCATAAAGTATTGCGTAACTGCCAACACCAAGACACACTTTGATTCGCTGTGCGGGTTCCAGAGTTTTTACGGACTTGAACCACCACCCGCGCTTCCACCTAACTTCGGGTTTGGGTTTGAATTTGAGATGGAAATCATACAGCGCCATCGCGAAATCGAACGGAGGTACAGACAAAAATCGAGAGAGATACGGAAGCATGATTACCATATAGAATGTGTAGGTACGAAGACGCAGCACACATTCTTGAATCTACTTCCGAGTAAACAGTATTACTTCGACTTATTTGTCGTGAATAGAGTCAATAACTACAGCAGCACGTACGTTGGAGTTAGCTTGAAAACAAAGAAAAGGAATCAACACAAAATCATAGACATGAAAGACGGGAAGCTTGTCACAACCTCTGTGAAAAAGTCCAATTCGCCGAAGTCTTTTCGATATCGCGTCTTTGAGCACACCGACCACTTGTTGTTCACCGTTCATCCGTGTTCGGCGCAAGTTCATGCAGAAATTTGGAAGGACGACGAGATGGTGCAGGGTATGGACATTGCGGATTTGAGTAACATAACGTTCAACGACGTGACACCTGGAGAATACTTTGTGAAATTATCCAACTCTAGGAGGCGCCCCACATCAGTTAAAGTATTAGCTACCAGGCGACTTTCGAAGTACCCCTACCCGGTCATGCCAGACGACACGCGAATAATAGAATTTGAGAGGGGACGCAAATGTGATTCTGTTACTCTGGCTTGGCTGGCTACCAAGGGAAAGGCACTGTACTGCTTATACAAGCGAGAGATTAAGCAAGAGACCAGACGTTCTTCGAATACGAATACTTGCCATGGTCCCGAGCTGCGGAAAAAGACTGAAAAAATGTTTTGCCGCCATAATAACGATAGAAACTCCAATGGCAAAACTGCTCCTATGTCAGAAATGGTGAGCGGACTGTCACCCGGCACGACATACAGGTTTGATGTGTATGTGGATAGCTATGGATCAGAGACCCTTCCTTACGACAGTATCTGGGTCACTACGAAAGACCAGTGCTAAACAATGCTTTTTGTTTACATAATTATTTCTGATGGATAAGTGCTTTAAACATATTTGTACAAATATGGTTGAATTTACATTTTGCTTCATGGAGTAGGACAGAAAACTACAAATGACAGGCAACAAAGGTCTATGATGTTTACCGAGATCTGCATTCCAGCTGTCATTGCTACTCAGCTGTCTTCTGTGAAAAGTGTTGACAATTCCAATTCAAAATGGCGCCATTTCATTGGACTGTTTTTTTTCAGAACGATCTGATTTTCTCTTACTCTCGAATCATCCTAGCTCAATGCGCGTCACTTCGCTCCAAGTGTATTGTAATAACTTGTATGTGATGCTTACCTATTATTACGGAAACTGAAGAACTACAAACATTCGTCTTGTTTTGAAAACTATTCGTTTGTGTTACGTTCACACAAACATCAGAGAAAGTAAGAGAGAATAAACATTATAAATGTGACCTCCCTAAACTGAACACCTAGATATCAATAGGGAATTTTGTTGTAATTAGCAAATACACCACCAGAGTTTGTGAAAACAATAACAAACTGTAGGTGGCGCCATTGCGCGGGTGCATCGCGAGAGCGTTTACTGCTCTCAATGAAGCTGTGCTTCTTATGATCCGATGATTAGAAAGAACACTGAACCTACGTAATCCAACCGGATATGGAAAATGTGCGGTTGCAAAATAAGAAGTAAGCAATTACTGGATGATAGAATGATTCATGTTGCGGGGCGATTGAATAGCGCCGTATGCGGTGCAATTGGCGAAATAGGGAAACTGCCAGACACGAACTGCTTAATTGTCGAATACAGTAGAGTGGTCGTCCAAACATTTGCAAATTTATAACCCCCTCCAAATTAAGATTTCATGTTTTAAAGAAGATGTACATATATATCAATGACGTCATTTAATCACGTGACCTAACTCAGCAAAGATTATGTAATTGCCACGCTGAATGCCCGCTTTGCTATGTTGGGCAGCTGGTCTCAAAATATTTCACTGTCATTGTAAACTTGGCAGTACTTTATTTATTAATTATTAAGTCTATTTAACCGCGATAGATATGGACTGCACCAGAGCTTAGTAAATCCCAGCGTTACCTTCAAAAAATGAACCTTTTGGCCCGCCATCTTGGCGACCTTCAACCCCGGAAGAGTATTCTCCTTCATTGTATTTATTATGAGTGATTATGTCGTTATACTACATCTATGTGTTAAGAAGTGCGTCTAGAGAATGACCTCAACATTTCGCTACCAAGTAACTATGTCAAAAATGTCATTACTATTTTACGCCAGTATAAAGACAGTTGTAATACAGTATGCAGAGTGTAATTATTAAGTTCGTTTTGGTAACTTTGGCCCAAGTTGAATTCTTTATCCGAATCTAATATACACTCGCTTGAACGAATTGTAGCGTTGTATTGTCGAATTGTTTTTTTCCACATAAAAAAGAATTTCAAGAACGTTCATGTATGTTAATCACGATGTAAAATATTCCGATATAATGAATGCACTTTGTAGAGAGGTGATTCTTATTTATAACATAGGTTGTTCGAGTATACCGAACCACCATTGTATACAATGTGACTTTTCGTTTTAGTGGATTATTATCTAAAATACAACCAACTAGTCGGTAATCCAGTAACCTATCATGTCTGTGTTTTTTTTTTATGTCACGCGTGTTGTATGCAGAGAGATACCCCTGGCGCTTACACCGTGATAATGTGTGTTGGCTTGCGCTTGAATAAGAATGTGTAGACCCAACGTGCTTGGTTCGATTCGGTGAATTCCATCCCGAAGGGCGAAGCCATAAGAAGCGCGTTACGAAAGGAGAAGACACTTATTCAGAACCGTCGTGTTTAAAAATACAAATTAAATATTTACCGCAAACAAAAACGACACCACTGTGATATAACATCACTCAATTTTATTGATGTTGTACTTATCTCATTTCGTGACGTAAAACAATTGAATAAAACGCCATATTGGTAAGATCAGCATCGCAGTGATTGGCCAATGAAATTGATGCTAGCCAAAGTCAGCATTGTTGGCCAATGAAGTTGGAGCTAGCCAAAGTCAGCTTTGTTGGCCAATGAAGTTGTATCTAGCCAAAGTCAGCTTTGTTGGCCAATGAAGTTGGAGCTAGCCAAAGTCAGCTTTGTTGGCCAATGAAGTTGTATCTAGCCAAAGTCAGCTTTGTTGGCCAATGAAGTTGGAGCTAGCCAAAGTCAGCTTTGTTGGCCAATGAAGTTGGAGCTAGCCAAAGTCAGCTTTGTTGGACGTGTCGCTGGGTCTTAAATGTGGCATTTAGTCGGGTTTCATTATGCTAAAAAATTAAGCCTTTGACGGGATGTGCCAAGCCTTACATCAATACATAGATTAATTCTTTATCGCAGTGATCATTGGAGTAGATTTTTGATGGTAAATATTTTATTTTTAATTTCAAACGAACCTTCTCATGTCTTCCCTTCTCGTAACTTTATTATTCGCTTCACTTCGTTCCATTATTACACGTTGGTAATCTCCTGTGTGTGTATTTATCTGCGAGCATGTCTTTCCTTCTATTTTATGGAGACAGCGTCGTTTATCGAGAATCGGTGTACGGGAAAATGTCATGCGAGCTGGCGAAGCTGGTATTGCCTGATGGTGGTCGGGGTAGGGTGGGTGTAAAGTTAGGACGTGTATGCGTCACTCATACATTTAGGGCGATATAATTAACCCCGTCACGTTAGGCTGCGTGCACATTTGTTTCTCTTAAGAACCCAACTTGTAAATGGGAACACATTAAAAGACAATAATTGTTCCACTGAATTGCAAAAGACGTCGTTTCAGTATAAGGTGATATTTTTGACTCCCATGTGCAAAGCACAAAATGGGAGTCTTGGCGGTTAGTGTGTCTGTATGGGTGTGTGTGTGTGTGTGTGTGTGTGTGTGTGTGTGTGTGTGCGTGTATTTGGATTGCTATATGTTGCGAGGACAAAAATACAGATATATACCTACTTCCGAGGACATACACACCTTCCGAGGACCTTTTTCATAGTCCTCGGAAAACATAATTTATATTAATAGTTAATTCGATTATTAATACTTTTGCGTA